CGGACGCCCTTTGCAGCTTTGCTGCCTCAAATCATGGGTCGTATTGCGTATGCAATTTCATGTTTTTTGTTTTTAAAAAAAAATATAATCCGTATTTGTAACGTCAAATGATTCTCGATTTATGCTTCTGTTCGTTAGGAACGACGATGATGTGGCGACGATATGTTCGAAGTTTAACGCACAAAAGCTCGAGTGTACCCATTAGCGAGATACTCCGGGATTCAGTTGAATGCGAGAACCACGCTTAATGGCGGGGAATGCGAAACTATCGATAAAGTTTCCCGTTTCTGACCGCAGCGGAGAGTCAAAGAGGATCGTTTTCGGACTTCTAATTCGTAATTCGACTTTCGTGTCGCGATGACAGAAAAGCAAATAGTATAACTGTATATCAATATTTCAACAATATTCTAAGGTATAGATGTATCATAATTATTTTAGCAAACATTTAAAAAAGCAATATTAAAAAAAAAATGAGCAAAAGATATTACATAAAATTCGATAAACATACGATGAAAGACTGAACAATTCTTTTTTGATTAATTTTCTTTCTTTTCATATGATAAAAAAAAACATTTTCTTTGTTTTAAAATTAATTTTTGCAATTGTAATAAAATATGTATGTAGCCTTTTATCGAGCGCTCAAATTTCCAATTATATTAATTAATTTAATCGTTCATATTCGAAAACGCGCGAATTGATTTTACATATTTACGTTAATGAATAAAATAAATGTATAAATAATTTAATATGAATAATTGGCGATATATTATCATCAATCACGATTGTATCATGATTGCATTACGTTTCAAAATATTTGCGATTGCGAAACAACTTATCCACATTTATTAACAAACGCGCTCGTTAATAGATCGGCTCTATCTGAAGAGTAGAATCGTATCGTTTCGTACGAAAAAGTTAGATCACCTCCCGGCCACGGCTAGTTACTTCACGATTACGATTTTAATTATAAACCGGATGTTAATCCCATAGGGTGAGCGTTGTTATCCGGACTTGATTCGAGCGGAATTAAGTGAAAATATTTATGAGCAATTTACACGCGGCCGATATTGCGCGTTGCATGTTTCACGTCGCGACAAGGCGCGTCGTCATGTCACCATACTTCGTCCGACTTTGTCGCAAAATTAAATGCGGTTGCCTCCTGTCGGGCTTATCCCGGTCGGAAATTTCCTCTGAATTATTGACGAACTGCCGCTTTTGACTCTTACTGAAAGGCAGCGACAGCGACCTTTATTCCCCGACTAACATGTGGCGTAATAATGAATCCCGTAATAACCGACTCCGTCCGGCAATCGTCTTCGTCACTCTGCTGGTCTCATCAACTTTTCATTATCGTTTCATTATCTATTATCGCGAAAATTATACTCGAATAACTATCAGAAAAATTAATCCTGAAATCCTAATCGTAAAATCCTAATCGTAAAATCTTCGATATTTTAATACATGAAAATCGATTTCTCGTGCATATTATGGCGTTTTCTGCGTTTCGAACTCGATGATAAATTTACACAAGTCGTGACAGAAACAATAAAGAATGAAAGAATTAAAAAAAAATAATAGCGTAGATTGCATGGCTAAATTAATAAATTGAGAAAAAAGCGAATTTCTGACGAATGATTTCAGTAGAAATAGCGACTGCGGTCGGACATGGCTGACCTTTTCTGACTTCTACTACTAACTTCCACTAGCGCTGCACATGAAAGCACATTCGCATTAGAATAAACTATATCTATCCGCATCACGATGTTTCAAACGCGATAAATGTGAAATACAAATGACGGTTCTCCGCCCTTTTAACCCTCAGGCGAGCCATAAATGTCGCTTTAGCAAAGGGACAATTATGCTTTGTATGTCGTACATGATTTCTGAAATAATATATATGCATAAAACACTTACATATACGCATTTATATATAGTGAGTAAAATTGAAAAGATAAATACAGTGAAATTTATCAAATATTTAGTAAAATTATTTGGAAATAAATTTTTTATAAAAACTTTTTTAGAGTTAAATTTATCATTTAATATTTGATATATAAAATTTGATTTATTTATATAATGACATTTTTATGAGTGCGTAACAATGCCATTGCGAGCAAGTTTACAAAATTTGTGATAAATGGAAAATAATACAATTTTAATTGTTACATCTACGTAATGCATTTATTTCTTACAATACTTTTTCATTTCAATATTATTTAATTCGCACTTTCACGTGTAAAATACATTTGTAGCTAGTATAAAAGAACAATAAATTATGTATATTATATGAATATAAAAAATATATTATATATATTTGATAAAATTTATAACTGTATATAATTGTTTGATAAATTTCTTTTCATTTGTATTTCTCTCTATAGAAAACAAATCTTATACAATAGTATTATTAAAAGCGGAACTAAAAAGTTTCTGAAATAATAGTAAAACTTGTTCAAAATATACGAGAAAACAGAAAAGAATGAATTGTGACCTGAAAGAATTGTGAGAAGAACATGGGAGATAAAATAATATAAAATTATTTCAAACTCTAAAGGAAACAATAATCAAAATTATTGCAAGCCATTGCAGTAAGCGTTTCCGACAGATTTCCACATTGAGAGAAACTCATCGCATTCGCGTTGTTTCGTTGTTTCTCAAATATGTGCAACCAGCCAATGTCCGACGGAATTGCAAACGGTTATTACAAGTCGGGCATCTGCACGCCATATGCTTAGCATGTCGTGGTGAACAGTAACAGCCTGTGCCAAATTCCGAATGTTTGGTCAGCTCGCATTAGTGTTTCTCGAGGTCCCCGGAGAAGCTGCTAGTCGATAGTACTTTACGAGAATTTCGAGTAAGATATTAATACATTGGGGATGTTTTGCCGAGTCAGCTGATTCGGCTGAATTTTATATTCGGGACGATCGTAATCAAAAAACATGTTTTCTCTCTCTCCCGGTCTCTTTCACGTGTATTTTTGTATATTTTCTATGTAATGAATTTAGAGATGTTCAGACGAGATGTTATTTTTTGATATAATTTAAACACTTTATCAAACGAAGAGTATTTTTAATATTAAATTATATAAATTAAACATATATAATAATAATAACAATGATATTGTGCGTATAAAGTATATAAATTAAAATTTATAAATGATTTGATATTTGCATTCGTTATAATTTTAATGTACTCGTGTTTTCAAATCGTCAAATTGGACGAGCGATTTTACACTTTTTCGTCCCAATTTTGTCCAATTTTAAGGTTGAGCGATCAAAATCTAATCAAGGCGAGAAACATGCCGAGAGGCATCCATATGTATCGTCTATCTTAAACCGTTTTGCATGTGCTTCGTTTGAAAAAGGCGAGGGAGCGATGAAGAAAAAGAAGAATCGGAATATCTTTTACTCGGAAAATAGTGAATGTTTTAAGAGGGAAAATAAAAAGTAGCAGACATACATAAGAAAAAGCGCGCACGATTCTGTAGAAACAAAATGTGTCTTTGACGTTCAAGCTTGGTCGAACCTTTTTGCATATCTTTGATACTCTGGAGTATCTTCGAAGTTCTCGCGGCGAATAGAAAAATGAAAAAGATGACTTTCGGTCTTATATAAAGAGGCTGGAAAAAATGCGACTTGGCTCTAAGCAGATGCTTTCCTGCAATTTTCACGAATAGAACATGCATTATAGATCAAATCGGAGATTAATATATTGATATTATTATTTCAGTGAGTTGGAATATTTCACGTTGGAATGAAAGTTTATGAATATTTTATTCGACGATGAAAAATACGATGATTGAACGGATTATATTTTTCGCAATTCTAGCAAGTCAGGAATTGAAATTTATAAATATACGAACTACAATAGTGGTGCTGAAATAAATAAATAATTAGAGGAAAAAATGGAGAGTAGAAGCTGTTGCGTGTCTGATGTTTTCCGGTGATGTTTAATAACGCAACTTCAACCCTCTGCCGAATGTTTAACAACGTGTTTCCGGAAATTCCAAACAATCGTCGTTCGACCACGAAGGCAATCAAATTTTTCAACTAGGAAATTTTTCGATTAAATCGAGATTCGCGTGAACAGGGCGCGGAAACGGGATATTATTGCGGGCATTTTATTGTTGGCCGGCCAACCGATTTGCGGGAAAATCGACGGATTTCACTCGCTCTGTTGCACATGGATGTAAATAAACACGGTTCCGACCGTAATCTGTCTTCGTACGTGCCATTTGCCTTTGACGTTCCACCGCCGCGAAGGGCGCTGTGCTATTGATGATAGCGGCGGTGGTGTTGTTCGGAGTTGATAGCGGCCGAGGGAAGGGGCGAGAGGGAAGAGGGGTTGATAACGGCGCGTCCTCCCTCCTCCCATCGTGGACACATAGTTTCGCGAACGAGAAATAATGAAATTTGCCACTGACGAGACGAATGGTGATTAATGAGCCGCGCACACAAGTGTGGAAGTCCCGACGAAGAGCTGCGGGTGTGTACATCGTACATTGCACGGAAAAGTACCAAACTAACAACGAAGCTGCAGGATGGAAAAGATCAATCGAGATACAATCGTACATCGTGGATGAAAGACAATATACGGATTCCGCTTATGGCATTTTCGATCAATTTGAGATCGATTTTTCTCCATTGAAACAATCAAACAGAGCTCGTTCCATTTGTTATTTTAAATGTTTTTATTTTCAACATCGAAAATGTTTCGATGATTAAAAAAAATGTTACGTTGAATTATTTAAGTGATGTTCACTTGAATAAAGCCAATGTATAATGAATGTTATTTATGAAGAGTTGTTATTTTTTTTCGATGATTAATTCATATAATTTTAATCACTTTTAACGCGAAAAGATACTTTCTCGTAAATCTTTTCCTTTTTTTAATATGCATTCAACGCAATCTCTATAACCGTGCTGTTTTTCAGCTCTTTGTATTGTTAACAATGCAACAGGAACTTGGAATATTGAAGGAGGCTCCATTTCATGTTTCAGCTTACAGGCGAAAATAATGAAGTGGCTCTGGATAATCGTCTTGGTAGGTCTGGCCTTGCCGGCTGCCGTTCCACGAAAAATCCACAGAAGCAAGCCCAGTGAGTATACATTTTTTAATAAACGTAAAGCCTTATATAAGCGAGAATATCGCAGGAAAATATTATTTTTAAAAATCGTTCGATTATATTTTCGAATAGCCATGTCTCGTATCTTTCAAAGAATTATTCCCTCTTTGCTGATAAATTTGATTGTTACTTTTTAAATTTTATATGTGAGGAAAGGAAATTCGCGAAACTTCATATACGAGTTGAAGAATGTATCGTATAATTATTCGAATATTCGATGAAAGCGCATTTTTTTAGTTAGCATTATTCTATCGTGGACATTCTCGATTCGAAAAATTTTCGCAGGAAAGTAAATTATGGAATTCGTGTCATGATTGAAAAAGATTGCTTGTTTCTCCCCTCGGATAAGCCGATTCCGAGAGAGAAGTATTGCTGTCGGAAACAATCACACGGAACTCGCGTTTCCGGAATCGCAAACGATAGTTTCACGATAAATCGCCTTTTAGTAACCTGGCTAATGGAAGCGAGGAAAAAAGCTACATTTTTATTTTTTTAAACGTATGTAAAAATAATTACACATGCATCATCGTCGAAAAGGTAACTGAAAAGCTATCGTTTAATTATTCGAAGTAGTAGCTCGAAATGTTATTTTTTTTATATCATAGACGCTCGAATAATTTCCGAAGCAAAAGCTTCTCTCTCTCCGACACGGCAAATAAATGGAAAATTTTGTTTAATGGAAAGCGTAACTTTGTGTGTGAAACTTTTGCATTCTTTGTTATATCTTCATTTTTTTATTATTATACAGGATTGAGAAGTTAAAAGGAGATAATCGAAAAATAATTTTTTTATGCAAAACTATGAAATAAAATTTTTTCATACGAGGCTGTTTCCGAAAATTAATTTTGAAATTTTGAATAATATATTTACATTTCTTTTTTTTGCAAGCTTGAATGATTTTTAATTAATATGTCAATGACGATTATTAAAAGTATAACATTTTTCTTCACTTATAATAGTAAAAGAATTTAAAGTAGAAGTTACTAAAGATGATAAATTTTATTTTTTCTATAGCAAGAATATTTTTATATTTTTCTATATATATTTTTATAGTTAAGTGTCGAGATAAATTCAATAGTGTATAACACGAGATCGTTAAAAATCATTCAAGCTTCATACATATCAAAAAGCTTAATACTTGTGTCAAATTTTCCAATTCTTGTTGAAAACAAGGCTTCTCGTACAAAATTTGATTCAATTTATTTTTATATCAGAACTCACCTTCTTGTCGATTGCACGTTTCCTTATCCGTCCTGTATCTCATTGCCTTGATTGTAAGATGCACTGTGATTCATTCGTGCGTTTGGTTAAAATTTCCTCTCTTGTTTTTTGCAAGGGAAAATGAGCGTTTTTTGAGAAGAGTTGGCGACAGATGTCGGTTATTGAAAGCATGTGTCTCTTTTTTGTTTTCAGCGCCACGATTGTATGGCGACAGCGTCTCCGTCGAGTTAATAAGGACCAGCAACAGCAAGGTGCGGCAGAAGATCGTAGATACACACAATTACTTTCGCACCCAGGTCGAACCACCTGCCGCCAACATGCTCGTCATGGTAAGAACTCCATTTGTATTCCCTCCTAACAAGGACACGGTCGAGCGAGCTTACAGCGTTCGAGATGTCGGATGATCCGCCAACATTTCATTGAAAAAGAAATAAATCCTGACAGTTCGAAAAGATTATCGTTAAAATTTTGTACGCTGACGTTTCATATATATTTTTCAAATTTGCTTTCAGAATATTTAATAATTTAGTCGCAGAATCCCTACAAGTTACACAGATCATCACAGATTTCTTTTAATATTTTTTATGTTTTTATGTTTTTATGTTTGAAAAATATCCACAGGTATGTTTATTTTTCACATATAAAAATTTATATTTATACAGTAGTACAGTAAAGTGAGAAGAGAGCTATTTGTCATAAATAGGTTCATGATACCACTCGTTAAATTGAATTACTGCCGCGGGATTGAGCGATAAACGATCTGCGAAGATAGAATTCGGCGAGAACGCAAGCGGATTGTCGCTACAAGTGTTATTTGCGAAACACGAAATCGATGTATTCTATTTCCGTTGATCGGCGCGATTCGAACTTCAAAGCAGAATCGGTTTCGTTGGGCGGAAGTGGGCGTTTATGGCGCTTGATCGGAACCTTCGCACCGATAACCGCTTTTATAAATTTCATTTCGACGAGGGTCATCGCGATATTTCTCGCAAACTCGCTCCCGCGCCGTTTGTCGATATGAGAAAGAGCAAATCTTCGACATAGCTGTCATTGTTGCATCTGCTCGCGGCGGCGACGTGTTTCCGTTTACGAACGATGAAATATGGGGAAACTTGCAGACTTTTTTACGATACAATATAAGTAGAGGGTTTTTTTCACAATTTCCACATTAATGTTACAAGTTCTTTAAGATAAATTTATATACTCTTCACTATCAGTCTTAAATAAATTATCTAATAAAAATGGAACAAAGTGATTGACATGAATATAATTTTTTTGACGATTGACAAATAATCATTTTCTATTTTTATTTATTATGAATAATTATAAATTGAATAAAATCGAGAAATAAATCGCATTAAATATTATATTTGTTGAAAAAAATCATGTTTTACATATAATAAAATATACAAAATATATTTAAAAACATTTATTTATTATATGTAATTGGATTACTTTTAAATTTAAAGTTTTGAGAATTTTGTAAATTTGTGGAGAATCAATTCTCTCTATCTTCTTAGGATTCTTTCGCGCAGGATTCAGGAATGATACGAGCTAACGGAATCTCGATTTCCATCGATTTTCCCAGATTCCCATCTTTCGGTGTACCTTCGACAATACGTTGTCACTTTCCAAAATGGAATCCTTCCAAACTCTCTGGCTCTTGTATCCCTCTCTTTTTGCGGAAATGAAAGTTTCAGTTGTGTTAACTTTGATATCGATATAGAGTCTTTCATTTCAATCTAATTAATTTTGATGACACTTTCAGTCTCTTCAATTTTACACAATATAATTTAGAAAAATATAATTCAGATTAAAATAAATATTGTCAACTATTTATATATTCGAGGGAGAATATAAATAAACTATTATGAAAAATGTTGAATTAGAAACATACAATATATTGTCTTATATACTATATTTTAACACACAATGTGTCACCCTTTTTTCAATAAAATAGCAATACTGGCATTCTTATTATTTCTATTTTAATTGTAAGACAAAAAGTGCTAATAATTTCCTTGAAAAGTTTTGTCACACAAAATGTAATAAATAATAAATAATAAATTATATAATTTGGATAATTCAGAGGTCTGAGTTCGTTAAATTAATTAGAAACGAGCAGTTTATTCTCTACGTGAAATTCACGCAAATAATAGTCAAAGAAATGATTACCGGTCATTTTAATGGGCAGATATTCCTCTGGAAATGCAGGCAATATAAAAAAAGAATAAATATGCAGCAATGTAATTCAACTTTTGCCTGCAGCACAATGCGCATTTAATTCGGGATTTTCGGCAACTTTGTGGTAGATAATGCGCGTCGTTAATTGGACTGATTAAAACTAAGCGGCGAAAGCGCTCATTATCCGTTCATTTCGCAATATATATTTTCCGCATTTTCCGGAAAATTACCAAAACTGCTGAATGGTAAATCCTACAGCAATTATTGTTTATAACACATACCTCTTCTCTTTTTCTTCTTCTCTTTCGCTTTCTCTTTCTCTTTCCCTCTTCGGATAATAAAGCATAACAATAAAGTATGCGTTCATGTTTCGAAAATAACAGATAATTGATAAGAGATTATTTAACTGTAACATGTTTCGATCGAAAATAATTACAATAAACCATGCATTTTAGATAGAATTTTAATTATAAAAGAATGCAAATAAATATATAAATAGCAAATCATATTCTGTAACATTTTTACACATTATGTACATACATATACGAATACCATATATTCATAAAAATAATTTAAATATAATTACAATTTTATTGTCAGATATTTGAATTGTTTTATAAACGCTCAACATTAGAGCGTTAAAAGCTGCGCACACATAATGGCGGACTTTATCAGACATTTACCTTACGTAGTAGTTTACTTGATCGAAAAACTAAATTTTCGAGGTTCGCCGTCGAGCACGGCGCAAGATTTCAATTTCCGGCCTGTATCGACGTTATTATCCCCGATCTATATATAAACATATATGCAAACGTGTACACTATATATCACTCGCTTTCCGTTGTTTCTCGTCAGGATATAGCGTAAGAGACGTTACAAGCGGGACCGCGACATCCACCGCAGAGATAATCTAATGTAATAAATTCATAGAGATATGAATTAAAATCGGATTATTCTTAGAAAGAAGCAAACGAAATGGTGTCATAGAATATAAAATATGGCGGAAAGGAAAACGCATATAGAAAATAAAGTAACACGATTGCTATTCGCAATTTTCGAATTTTCAATGACTTTTGTTCGTAATGAAAAAATCATCTCACAAGTCTTAACATATTAAATTATTTTATCACCAATTTTGTTCTCGAGCTTTCACTCTTAGTTAACATTTCCTTCCGGAAGAGACCCGATATGCGTATTTGCGGACAGGTGTTTACGTGGTCAAACTGTCTCTGGGTCTCCTCTCCGTCTACTCTCGTCGTTCTCTTCGTACCGTCCAATCTCTAGCTTGGTTATAAGTTACACGACTTCCCACTTAAATTCTTTTTCCACGGAAACTACCGACGACGTCGCCGTAAAAGCTACTTTCGGCAGGAGTTACGCCATAGAGATGCAACTGTTATCTGGAGTTTCTCTGGCGAAACCCTAGGTGCGATGTATTGTTTTCCGAAGGAGAGGATGACTGGGTATTATTGAGAATTTCTTTCTGTCGACGAATAGTAGAGCGTTTAAAATCGAAGCCAGATAACATCGTTGTCTTTTCCTATCGTTCTGTTTGCCAGTAAATTATAAATATAAATATATCTAATTATGTATATTACATAAATAATATCGCAATATCGTAATTTTTTAAAAGAAATTACAATTAATAAATTCATGCGATTTCTTTTTGTTCAAATTTCTAATGCAGAATGATTTAGAATATGTTATCGTCTATTTATCCCGATTATTTTTTAACACTTGCGAATAAATAATTTTATATTAATAATTTTTTTACCATTTTTGTATTATATAAAGATTACATTGTAATAAAAAAAAAACATATATATATATATATATACAAGATATCCCAGTTATCTTCCGTCATCTTTCAAAGACAAATTCCTGGGATCATTTGAAGACGATTTTTCCTCAGCGAAAATAAAGGCCATAATTTTTTGCATTTTTTTTGTTCCCAATAGGCCATAATTTTTTGCAATTTTTTGTTCCCGATTTTTGTCATCATATATCTTTGCAATTAAGTCTTAAATTAAAACCCAATTAAAGTAAACTCTATTTAAAATTAATCGAAGAATGTGGTTTTGTTAATATTTTATTTCTACAAAGCTTAGTTTACGAAAAACCCCTTATTTTCAATCACTTATAATTCGAAAATTATTAGTTCCTCGACATTTTCGTTGAGGAAAAATCATCTTCAGATAATCCCAGGAATTTGTCTTTGAAAGATGACGGAAGATAACTGAGACACCCTGTATATATATAAAATATAATATTAACACAAAGATTTTCTTTAAAAATAAATTAAAAATGTAATTTCAAAGTATATTGTACCTCATAGAATATATTATGCATCCGGTACTGATTAGAATTCAAAATCAACTTTATACGAGCAAGGAAGCAGTCGCCTCGAGATGCATAAATCAAGGAGCGCCTCTGATTAAGGACGCCTGCTCAGGTAGCTCCCGAGTTTCTTAAGCTTAATATAGGCTCGTAAAATGCAGAATAACTTTGAATCATCTTTTTTATATCCAGTAATGCACATAGTTGCAGTTATTATGCTTACGCGCGATTCATTAAGCAGAAATAAACACAGCTACCAGTATCAAACTTGTGTGAAGAGAAACATAAAAAAATAGCAAAAAGATAGGAAGCGCAGCAGTTTTCTCGCGAGAAACTTCTGAGAACGCCTCTACAAATATTATGGCTTTGAAAGCGCGATATTTGCATATAACGAGCAATTAAGGAGCCGCAGGAAAGTCAAGAAACTTTTACCGCGAGTTTACAGCAAATGCAAGAAAACTTCTTGTACTCGTAAACGGCTTGTAGTTTGTATTACACGTATTTAATTAGATTTCAAGTTTTTCCGCAATATAACATACAGAGGGCACTCTCACAAAGCATCGTTCTCCCTTTAATTATGAATTCCTTAAATTATGAGATATAAAATTTATAATCATCAACTTTTTAATAAAAGATATCGTGCATTTCTCTAAAATTCAATTTTTTTAAATTCAAGTTTAAATCATTTATTTGATGAAATCTCGAATTTTTAATTACTGTTATGTAGAATTCTATTAAGTAAATATATTTATTAGTATATATACCAACTACATATTAATGTATAAGTATTAAACTTACAATTTATATATTTATCAAAACATTAATTTAAATTATGTATGAGAAAAAACGTGATAACAATTATTAATCATTATTCTTGTAAATTAATAATTTTGTTAGAGTTGCATTTTTAATAATAAATTAATAATATTATTAAAACATTATTTAAAAAATTCAAAATCATAAAAACACACACACACAAGATTAGAAGGTACAGAAATTCTTCAATTATTTTTTTAAATGAAGCGTTTAATAAAGACTTTTTGTTTTATATATTTTTAATTATTATTTTCTAATTATTATTTATATAATAATTATAAAAATACCATAACACATAGTTAAAATATACTTGTTGAAGAGATACAATTTTGTTTATGTTTGATTTCTTGCGCAAAAAAATTATATGTTCAATAATTTATGATTTGAAAACTATTTAAAAAAATGTGTTAAAATATACAGAAAACTATTTTCCCAATTTTACTTGATATGATACTTTTAGAGCACTCCATATATCATATAGCATCGTTTAATCATGTATAACGCACGTCTCTCTTTTCTCATTTCAGAAATGGCATTCGGGTTTAGCGAAGGCAGCGCAGAGATGGGCCGATCGTTGTCTCGGTTTAGTGCACGACAACGCGACCGGACTTTACCTGGATGGTTTCGGTCAAAGCGGGCAAAACATTTTCATCAGCACTGGTCGTACACTCTGGTGAGATGTTATTAAATCTTGTTTACTTCTAGTTAGCGAGTTCGCTTTGCAGCAGTATATTTGCGCAGGTGTACTCCGAGCGTATTCGCGCGGACTTTCTTCCGTGAAAATATGCAATAGTCCATTTGCCATTAATTAGTTAACTGCGCCGTAGGTTTCATTAAATTAAATTATATTGCTTCGACAGATTATTAGTATATTAAACTTTGAATTTAATCAAAATATAAATTAAATTTTTATATAAGAAAGACTGATAATTGGTAATTATTATATGTGCAATTTTGTTAATTGCATTTTTCACTTTGTTAAAACGAAAGATTTTAAGATATATTCAGACTCGAGATTGTGGAATTTCAGGAATTTTTTTTTCATTTTTTTAATGCAATTAAATTATTTAGTAAAGAATTTTATTTTGTATATCTTTATACCTATCTATAACTCTTATTCATTTTATGTATGTCATTGGAATAAAATATCTAAATTAGTATTAAAAGGTTGATTTCTTGAAAAAATATTATTTGAGATGTTAATTAATTTCGTTAGAGATACGATAAAAAATTTCCAAATTTACAATTTAAAAAATTCCATTAGGATCGTTTGAGAAGACTGCGTCTTGAACCATCGAAAAATTCGACGCTTTAGAGTGAGAAATTATATCGCTAACAATAATTAATTCCGCAGTCTCGAGGAAATTAGAATTAGATTTCGCGGACGTCGACGGTCCACAGTGATGAGCTGTGCCGAATCGGTAGCTCGCGCAGACAAGAGCTTTACAAACATTACAACCGCACACTTTACATCGCGCGCGGGCAACATCCGACCGCAAATCCGGATCGCTCATCATGCCGAATCACGCCTCTCTCGGAATGTTGCCAGGAACTTCCCCATCAGAATGTGGTACATGGAGTACAAGGACTTCAAGTACGGGCCGAATACGACGAACGAGCTCCTCGAGATCGGCCATTACACGCAGGTGGTGTGGGCGACGACGCATCTGGTCGGTTGCGGGGTGAGCCACTGCACCAGCGGCGAGGGTCCGCTCGGCAAGGACTTCTACATGTATGTCTGCAATTATGCCCCGAGGTAGGTATAATTGTCGAGCCTAATTGAAGAATCGCGCCGATATTCACAACGATATGAATTATTAAATAAGGAACTTAGTTAACCGACTTGTGTATCTTGCAACAAAATATTTTGAGTCAATATTTCCTTCACGAAAATGTCGAGGTCATCATTACATAACTTTTTAATTAAACCTTGAATTCAAATTTTCTTCGAGTAAAGACTTACTTAAGATCAAAGGAAAAGTTAAGGAATATCATTTTACTGGTGCGCCAAGCTTAGTTTACAAAAAGGTCTTCATAAGTCTTTATTTTACCATCCTTATACCGCATTTCTCTCGAATTTAATTAAACAGGAAAGATTCCGGTAAGTAATTTTTAATTAGTATAATTAATAAAGTATAATTAATATTAATAATTAATATTAATATTAATATAATTAATAAATAATATACATAATAATAAAAGAATAATATAATAAAATATAGTCATAAAAATATGGTAGTAAAATAAAGTTTTTTTTTAATAAAAAAACTAAGCTTCGGAGATATGAATAGAATAATGTTTCTTAATTTTTCCTTTGAACTTAGATAAACTTTACTTGAACAAATTTGAAAGCTTAATTACGAAATTATGTAACGATGACCTAGACATTTTTGTGAAGAAAATTTCAACTCGAAATTTGCAAAAGAATGTGCAATTAATGACATTCTGTATATATATTATTATCTTCTTTCATTCTTCAAGAACCTCATTCATTTTTTTATTTGTCGCATGTCTCATGTCTATAAATCTTTACATCAAGATTCTTATTCACACGCATTATCTCATTCCTAAATGCAGGGCGTTTTCATGATTTTATAAGATTCTTATAATCGCAAAACAGATAGATGACATCGATAGTAATCATTTTCGCCGAAATACATGTCGTGACTGTTGTGGTACACGGCCATTTCCGCGACAGCAATCGCAATTGGGCCATGACTAGAACTTAGTTCATTAACGTGGAATTGACGCAATAATTTGCTAGAGGGAAACGCGGATTGAACGGTTAACCGTAAACTTGGCGAAAGTAGAATGCGCGGGTCGTCAAAGCGGATCTTACTTATGTTAGATCGACATTCGCTCGCCGAAAGGGAGAGGGTCAAAGTACCTGGTTGTCGAAGAGGACACAAGGGAAATAAACAAGGTAGAAGGGTTGACGAAAGATGAAAAGGAAGAAGGAAACTTGATCAAAGTGCGCGAACAATCCGCTCTTTACGCAACGTTAATTAGCAACGACGACCACATTTTAAAGGACTTTGATCGCGAACTTGACAGCGGTTAGCGTTTAAGTAATTATTTTCTATTATATATATATATATGGAATATTGCAAAATTTTCTTTGTAAAAGATTAATCTTTATATAGAACAAAAAAATTTGCATTGCGTCGGAAAGACGTTGGAGAAAAAATGAAAGAAAGAAGGATTTTTCAAAAAAGTTGTGATAATAACAAAATTGATAATAAATATAATACTTATAAAAAATCAATTTTTTTATCACTTGAAAAGTTCCCTCGTTAATTTCGTTTTCAAGTTAACTCGAAATACTACGCATCAAAATAGTTTAGGAAGAATCTTGTTTGAGAAATGACGGTCCCTCTTTTCGAATAGTAAATAATGTTATCATTCACGAGAGAGATGCAGCGGCAGTATTTCCGCGCGTTCGCTAGCTCGAAAACATTTTCGAGAGAGGACGATCGTCGAATATTGCTAAAATCCTTCCTCAGGCATCCCATATACGGACTTGATTATACAGCTTAGCCTTTTTTCCACGAGAGCAAAAATAACCAATGTATGTTTGCAAACTGCGCGCGAGACTGGCACGTAAGCTTCCCCTGGGCGCATTGAAATATGTAAATCCTATATTTATATACTATATGTGTGTGGGGAACATATGTACGATCCGCTCGCGGGGGAGAACAAGAAGCAAGAACGCATATAAGCAAGGGAAAACAAGGAAAATGCGACACACCGGTGCGGAATATATATACAACGTCGACGCGAGTTATAGCTCGTTCGTCTTTGTCATGCCCATTGTGGCACTTAGACGGCTCTCTTTGTCACCGGTATGACACACTTTCCCAGCATACTTTTGGTTTTCGTTGTATTGTGTGCACGAGACTACCGGAAGTATACTATATCTATATATATCTATATATGTGTTCAATACAAAACATATATGACGTACGAGAAGGAAATAAAATTTTACTCTTGAAATTTTCTTACAAGAACCGACTGCTTATTTTTAAATTTAATGAATTATATGAGATATGAATAAGAGAGAGAAAGAGAGAGAGAAGTACAAGATTGAAAAAGAAAAAGGAATCTATTTATCGGAAAGTGATTAAGTGAGTAACCTGTAAAAATCAATGATCTTAAATTATTTCACATCTCTTTCGTCTTCTCTTTCAATAAATGCGAAGATGTGAAATTATTTAACAAAAACTAAAAAAATTTTCTTTCTCTCTTTGGAAAAATTATTTCGTGTCGAGAATAAATTAGTTTAACCTACTGATTTTTTTCACTCATTTCTTTGTGTCGCAAAAATACCGATTGTTTTAAATAATTTGTGCGAATATCGATCTACTGAAATAGCCGAGAATTATGTCAATCAGATTGTTGCATTCTCAGCTAAGTCGTCCATGTGAGTAACAATAAATAAACGATTTCCCCGACATTTCACGCGTGAGCGACTCCCGCAATTAGAATCCGCTTCGATCTCCTGGAAAGCGTGGGGAGAGAGGGGGAGGAAGGGGGAAGAAACTCGCAATTTATCGTTCCTGCAGTAGTCCGTACAAAAATGCCGGCGACCCAGTTCTGAACTAAGGATTTCTGCAAATCGCGCGACGCTATATATCCCCCTCATATATCGATCCCCCGCAAAATACGCGAGCCCGATAAATTTTTCGCGAGATCCGTTCTAATGCGATCGACGCGATGAATTCACCGGAGACTTCATATATTCGCGTTAAAAGACGAAGATATTGACGAGATGCGAATGCATAGAATGGCCGTCGCGTTAATTTTCTCTGCTGCTCACGCTTCGCGTTTTCGAAATGAATAGAGGAATAGCGCATTAAATTGCACATACATTTCTCGAATGATTATATCTCGTGTAAAATAAATACATGAAATGTGTCAGATATCGATGAAAATTGGCGTACATGTTCTTTCTTATTAAGAAAAAATTGCAATTAATTTTGATTAACAAAAATATCGCGGCATCAATAATTTTCAATTTATTGTTGTAGAGTTTTCCGGAAATTGATGAGGAAAAATAAAAGTAAAAAATGGCTGTTTAACTTGAAATTGATTTTACTTCGAGAAACTATAAATCGAGGTTTTTTTAATTAGTGAGATATTGAAAATATTGAAATTTGAAGGAGATTACGAAAACTTATCGCCAGTCTCGCGCACTTTTGCCCTTTGAAAAAGAGATGCTGTTTCCGAATGTTACGTGAAACAATCGCCATCGAGATTCAGGAATTATTACAATATGGAATTTAGTGTCGCAAACGTTTCGAGTAGAATGGAATTGCACGAAACGGCTTTTAAGATCATTTCATATGCCATTTTAGACGTCGATCCCTTCACCTCTTGTTAAACACCGTACATTCTCACGATGTATTTGACGCCTGACCTATTTCGCGCGAAAAGCGGAGCCGGCGAAGCCGCCACATCGGTAGTCCGGGTTCTGAATAAATAAACCGTGTCGCGTGATGTGGTCGGCCACTTTATCCTTCCTTTTATCTCGTTTCTCTCCGCCGTGCACCGACTTCTATCTCGTAATTAATTTCGTGGATATACAGCGTCCTCTTTCCTTCCCGCTGGACCAACGCAGCTTCCTCTGGTGATGGAAAATTCGCGCTCGTCCGCGCGCGCGCGCGCGCGCACGATCGTTTAAGACGCTTTCGTCCCGAAAAATACTTTGAATGTAAATTCGGTGGCCCATTTGCAAATTGCTCGACGTACTTTCCAAGGCTTTTCGTTAATGCGCGCGGCTAATGGATACCGCCTAAACTATTTACGCTATGTGCCTCGGAGAGAAATCGGGTATTTATTTTAAGTCTCGGATATCGAAAAAGCTAGCTCGAGAAGAACGGCGACTATTTCAATGTCGGGGGATGTCTATAAATTCCGAATAATTCCGAATCAATAAATGATATATATTTTTACGACGAATTAAATCTAATAATAATAAAAATAATAATAGGAAAGTATAAGTATTTTTTTTATTAAACGTGCGCAGATTGTGAAATAAATGATTACCTTTTGATAATTACTTTTGATAATGTATTTCATGTTAAGGTATATGATTATCGGGGATACTTGTTGCTTCGAATTGAGAAATTTAATCTGATAAAGTTATTTTAGTAAAACAAACTTGGCTCGAACTTTTTGTGTGTAATTTTCACGCGATTTTAATCTTTACTAAAGTTTTAATATTCACCAAAAATAAAACGCGTTCGCGCGTACAAAATTTTCTCACCACAGGAAGATAATTCGTTTTTCCAATTTGATGAATCTTAATTTAATAAAAATGCCGTGTTTTTTTAAATACATTGACTAACTAAATAATGCAGCTTTTGATGCAATTTTTTGCGATTTTTTTTTCTTCCTTGTTTGTTGTAATTTAAACACAAATTATATTTATGATAGTATATATACAGCGCGATTCACGTACGTATATATATACATTCACACATGTACATATATACATGCATTTCCTAGTAGTATATTTATAAATGGAATGAAATCGCTGTAAAACATTTTGTAAGATGTTTATCATAAAATTGAAGAAACTAAGAATCAGGCGAACAATTTTTTAGAAAAATACGCAATCTACTATGACCCAAAAAAGAAAAAAAAAACAAAAAGTATTTTTTCATCTTATGTGTTTGTGCGCGCTTATATTTGCACGTACCTGTACATTTGCGTATATCTATACATCAAAGTGAATGATGAATTAATGATGATAATTTAAAATTTTTTTTTACGCAATAAGATTTAAATTCTTATTTTTTAAGTTGGTGTAATTCACGCTTATGCGATATTCAAATCGTGCTCGCGCCCATTTAAAGTATAATTTAAATGTTTCGCAATTCTATTTGGATATATATTTTAAAATTATTTTACATAAAATATATATTTTAAAATTATTTTACATTGAAAACAATTCCAATGGATTTCTTAGATAATTTTGAGATCGTTTTTGAGTGCGCGCGACGTCTTTTTCTCTTAAAATCAGACACTAATAAAACCGGCGTGCTTCTGCTCCGCAGCGGAAACTACAGGGGTCGTCTGGGCCTGCCCTACGTGGCCGGTAAGCCGTGCAGCATGTGCAAAGACCATTGCACGCGGGGCAAGCTTTGCACGAACGCCTGCTACCACGTCGACCTGTGGTCGAACTGCGCCGAGCTGGTCAGGACATTCGACTCGTGGGTGTGCGAGACGGACAGCAAGGAGGGCCGCGAACGTCGGAAGTTCTGCGGTGCCACGTGCAACTGCAAGGACAAGATCTACTATCATCACGGGTAGGGAGTCCTCGTTGTACGGGTCCGCGTCGCGCACGTTGCATGAATAATTTATAATCGCAAAACTAAGCTCAGACCATGGTGGTGATGGTGGTGGTGTGTGCGACGACAGCTAAACGGTGGCGGATCGCTTGAGGGGGGAGGCGGGGATCATCGCGTTGTTTTATTGATGAGCTCGTTTGTTTAGTGATGAGACTGAAGGAAACGTTTTGAGCTCTGGTCTCTCCGTCGATGGCGGACAGGATAAACGGGATAATATGGAAATGGATGGTGGGATGAAGTGATTGCGGAATTCGCCGAGTACGCTCTCCGAATCTCTGGCATCTGGATTTTACCAGGGAGGTGGATGAATCGAGTGGATCGATAGATTCTACGCCGCGATCTAACGATTCCGCCGTACGATCTTTCGAGTCTACGTAAATACCTAGAGATCCTGAGAATATAAGATTCTTGTTGTATACGATCCTCGAATTCTAGAATTTCACGGTTCTCGAGAGCTCGGGATTCATCGAGAATGAATTATTGGTAAAAAAGTCTTCTTTGTTTATCTTTTAGAGTTTTTAACAAGTTTATCGCTTGATGTTTGAACGCGAAATGGAGAATAAATTTGCAAGCAATATCTTATAATTGCATATGTAATATTTTTAATGCGCTAAAATATCATTTTCAATCTAACATTTATTTCGCTTAAGTGTACGTTTGCCCTTTATTTCGTTCAGTAAGAAAACAGATCGAGGAAGCTTGGTTCGAGAAATAGATCGATTTTGTATCGATGAATGTTTCATGCATCATCTTAACATCAAAATAAATTGTAAGAAAATTATTGGATCCTCTATACACACATGCGTACACCTTCGATATTACATTCAAAAAGGAAAATAATTTCGTAATTAATGCTCGCTTTCGCAATTAGTAAAACAAACTTTCAAAGAATCGAGTTGAAAATTTTTTAACATGCTTGCGTTCTATCAGCAACTTCTTAATTCCCTTGCTCTTTATAAGAATATAGAATTTTCAATTACATTATACGGGCAAGATAATTAAAAAAATAACTTTCAAAAATATACATATACTTTCTAAATAATTCCTCCATTATCTTAAATAAAAATTACAGTAACTTGATGAGATTTTTAAATTTAATCATAAAAACAATTTTTGGTATTTTAAAAAATGCATTAGTCGAAGTAATCGAAAAATTCATTTAAGCAGAAGCATTAAGCTAATTTGATTTTATGCCAAGTTTGCAAATTTGGTCGTGAAAAATACAGTTGCAGCATATGAAGATTCTTGCATTTCTATATGAAAAAAAAACGATACAATTTTGAAATATTATAAGAATTGTAAATAAATCCATTGGGTTACACATATCGAAACTGATAATTGCTAGATACGATAGGTGTATCTTTAACTTTAATTAATTATTAAGAAAAGCCATTGTAAAAATTAAGATAAGCTTCAAGGGAACGGTCGATGTTTTCTTGTCGTGATGTAATGATGAAACTGTTTTTCGTTAGTATAATTATCAATAATACATAGTTATTTTTATCCTATAGATTTAACAATAAAACGTATACTCGTACAGAGCGATATTGAATTAAGTCAAATCGAGGTTGCAAAATTAACTCTTTACCGCTTAATTTCTAATATAATACAATTAACAATGTATTTAAAATCGCCTGTAATAAATTTAACAAATACATTTATTTGTTAGATTGAAATTGTAGAGATATATTAGATTTATAGATATATTTGATTACAATTGGAAATATAGAGCAATGGTATGTCTGTGTGTTCTTAAGTGTGTTTTAGAAAAGCGTAATTTTTTCTCGTGAAAAAATTTGTGAGACCACATATCGTACGACAAGAATGTATTTTTAACGTCGTGACAAATACAATATTTAGTAGTCTTTCTCTCTGTCTCTCTCTCTCTTTCTTATTCTCTCTCTCTCTCTCTCTCTCTCTCTCTCTCTCTCTCTCTCTCTCTCTCTCTCTCTCTCTCTTTCTTGATACAGAGATTTTCAACAAAATAATGATTTATAAAAGTGCAAAAAAATTTAATCGAGCAACTGGAAAAAATGTGCACCTTTTTAAATATTAATAAAATATTGCGCGGACGTTTATATAAATATATAATAATTTAATTAAATCTTGAAAAGATTAATATAACGCATCAAACAGTTTGATGAAGAATCGTTGTCGTTATTTTTTATAGAAAATAGAGAGATATTTGGTACATCGCGAAGTATCTTTCCTGTAACATACACACAGAATGCGCGGTAAAGAGTTAAAATATAAATGTTAAGGTAAATCTTAAGAGATGTAATAAATAATACAAGTCGAGAGAGAAACGATATACGACGAATGGCGAGCGTGATCGATGATAATATTAGGTACTCGATTGTCGATAATTAAGGAGTTAAAGGGATACATAAATACAGTAAATGTAATTAACACGATAACAGCTCCAGATAAAATGTTCAAACTGTAATACCTTTTGTCCACTTACACAATAAATATCCTGTAAATATTATATTCCCCGCGCGTTTTACATTATTCACTCAACCGCTATAATCCTAATATTTATTTCACCAACATTTAAATGCTGCATAATTAGTAGATGCAATATTGAAGTAATAAAATTCATTAACAATGGACGCGTTATGCGCGGATAATCCTTGCGTGTAATATGGAAAGGTCTCGAGCGCCTCCCTTAATCCTTTCCACTCCTGATTAATTTATATCGTTAAATTTTGATAAGGAGTATAATCATATTCTCGCATATAAACGCATGTTGGACGCGGTTACGACGTGTTTAATCGCGCGGAAATATTTATTCCTTATCGGGAAATCGAGGGATTAAACGGAATTATGCGGCGAATAAATCGATGAGCTGTAAGGATACAGAGAGGAAGAGAGAAGGGCGGATCACACCATCCGGGTCAGGAGAGAATGCAGTCGAGTTAGCGGTGAACCGAATGCGTAGTCTTTTTGCTTCAGGGACTTAGGAATGCTTTTCGTGCTGCTGGGAAACGAGAGACGAGGAACGAGGGAGAAACTGCGGACGCTACTGGGAACTTTGTCGAGCTTTTCGTCCAGAGTAACTGCACATTGTGATTTTCTTATATCGAACTGTCAAAATATACCGTCCTCCATTCCTGCCGTTAATCCAACGACCGTCGAGCATAAATCTCCGAGAAGCAATCTGTTTTTACACTTCGCTTCTGGCATTAAAATTCTGAGATTCCGGTGTTATATGTGAATTTAAAACAACGAAAATCCTAGGTAACGAAAAAAAATTACCGCCACTTACTGTGATTTCTTCATCTTTTTTTTTTTTTAAAGAGGCATTGAATTCTGATTCAGATAATTGGAGACTAAAATTGTTTCTGTCCAAGTGGGCTTTTAACAAAGGTATTATATTTCACGTAGAGTATCAAAGAATGTATTACCTTCATGGATTCGTTTTTCAATTGGCGAAAAATCGAACGGTCGGAGCGATACAGCCATCCATTTCCGGCGGTGTCAAAGAGCGCGAGGAAGAGAATCGTAACGGGACTCACCAGGCGGAATAATACCCGTTCGTCGCAAAATTGGGCCGATTCCATCGGGGTTGATGGCTACGGAAAGGCCGCCGTCGACGCGCGATTCCTTTGAACGAGCCCGCCGGGAAAGTCAGCAGTGCCGTTAGGTCGCCGATAATGCCGCCACGCGCTTTCACGTCAAAAGATCGGCGATCGCATTGTTGTGAACGAGCAATTTCCTTTCCGTCCCTTCTTCCAACGTCTTCTCTACGCGAGAAGAGCGATTGCGAAATTCGCGACCTGTCGAAGCGGAAGAACCGTTCGCTGAACTTAATCCTTTTTATAGTTGTTCCTCTTTCGCGAGATTCTCGACGAACGGATGTTCGAGGAGCGACAAATGTAAGTGTGACGTAAAGAAGTTCTAAGAGCTACGGTCAGTCTTATTTTATTTATTTCTCTTTGAGCCTTGCATGCATAATTATTTTGTTTTATTGTACGTATAAATACCGAGAGTATATTTAATGTTTTTTTTTTTTTTCAATAAATATTACAGATTAAATTTTTAATGTAAGAGTAAAAGAAATTAATTTACTTCTGCAAAATATTGATAATCCCATTATTTTTAAAAAGCTAAAGGATTTTATGTGAATTAAACGGCTTTATCTGAATAAAAAAAATTTTATTTTTCAATAAACTTTAACCGATTTTACGTTAATAGAACGAGTTTTATTTATTCGAGATTTCATTGTGAAGATAAACAATGTTAAAAGTATAAATATTTTATTGTCTACAGATTTAAAAAAATTTTCTGGGACAAGTTACATTGCGAATAATAACAAAAAAAAGGATTTCTGAGTAAATTTATCGTTATCGTATTTGCTAATAATATTGCAGCAATTCTGATCTGTTATGCAATGTGTGTTAAACAATGCAATAGGCACGTGACATACAATAGTGCATGTAATTCCCCATGGCTCCGTTAAATCGCGTCCAGTGCGGTTGATTTATGAACGCATTAATTATACCCGGGATGCTATCATTAGTTGATTGATCGCTCCTAATTAGACTGTAAAGTAGCCGCTGTGTTCCCTAATCCTAATTACTCAGAAATCTCACGGAAGTTCCATATTGAAAACTGACGTATTGAATATTCTTCAGATTTTACATCGAAGAATTAAATTACGAGCAGAATTAAATCATCTTACTATATATTTATCGATTGAAATAATTAACGAACAAATTTCTGACTTTATCATTATATCGTTTTCATCGTTTGTGGCTTGCATTTTGTAATTATTTTGATACTATTTCGTGATAACATAATTTTAAGTAAGTGACAACAAATATTTTTTCATATATAAATTTGAAGATAAAATTTCTTCTTTTTTATATATTATAGAATTAATATTTCGATTCTAATCAAAAATAGAAGCTCTACTTGATTTTATCATGTTATATAAAATAATAGATCGTATTTTATTATATTTATCTCTATTAATCAATAAAGATAATACCTTTTCAAATTACAACTCATCTATCTCTAGTTTCATATGGCATAACACAATTCAATTATTCAATGTCTAAATATCATGCAAACCAATGTTTTCCGTACAATACGCGGTTCGTGTACATTCTCAATGTTTACGTATGCAAATGTTTACACCGTCGCAAATAATTGAACGGAGATCGGAGTGCACGCAATTATTTGAAATTTCACGCAATTGTGCCTGGCGCCTCGATTTGTTATGTTAATTGAATTCCTTGCGAGGATGCCGGGACGTTAAACTCTATCGAATATCTTTCGAGAATCGGGTCGATAGTTCGCGCGAGCAATCTCGCTCTTATTTCTGGCTGCTCCGGAAGTGCATCTATCAGGAGTCCGTTTATCGGGAGGATAAAGAGTGAAATTTCGAAGAGGATTCTCCATTACATCCTCGCGATGCTGGAGAATCTCTTTGTATTATAATTCTCCAAATTCCGACGCACGTATCATAAATACGATCTTATTCTCGCTCTCAAGAATTTATCGTTGGATCTCAACTTTACAGCGTCTTAAATTTATAAATAATTAATACCACACAGAGAATCTCTTGTAGACCTTTGCAGCGTCTTAAATTTATAAATAATTAATACATAGAGAACTTTGTTTCTCTCTTCCTTTCTCTATTTATTAATAAAAGGTCTCGTATCTTTTTTTTTGAACAAGTCTAGATAATTTTTCTCTATGTAACGGATAGATTTTTGTGAAATTTTGTAAAACTTGTCGAATTTTAAATATACAGAGTGTCAAGGCAATCTCTCGCTAAAAAAGCTCTTGCAACTTATCTCGAGAGCTTTTCAAAACACTATAATAAAGTATTTTTTCATTGAATACTTTTCGAATAATGAGGCTTGAAATAATTTCTTAATTTTACATAAACCATAAAATATCTAGTAAAATATTCATTTTTCCATTATCTTACTTTAATACTTTTATGTACAAAATAATGAAAGAAATCAATTGGTTAAAAAATATGTAATTTGCAATTAGCAATTATATATTTTTTTTCGAAACGAATTATGT